TTTTTTTTTTTGGGATGGAGCCCATGATTTTCAAGTGCTTTGTCATCAAAAGCTTGACTGGCCAAAAGTATATCAGGCCCACTGATGTATTTTTCAGCTCTGGACTGCCCACAGGGCAGAAGTCCATAACAACACCCTCTGGCAGACAGGGGAGAGAGCTCCGAGTAATCACACCTCACTGAAGTCTAGCCTGGCTGTTCCCTCACTTGTACTAGGGTACAGCACCCCACTCTATCCAAGGAGGAAAAGAGGACTGGGAACCTGCCTTTTAAAAATGGCCTCTTACAGTTCTGTTCAATGATAAAGGACACTAAGAAGTCTCCTGATTTAATCAATCCAACAGGCATTAAGGACCTAATGTGTGCTGGGCACTGTCATAAGTGATGGAGACATAAAGAATGAGCAATCCCCACTCTAGAGGAGCTCGTTGTAAAAAGGAAGACTACAAGTACACAAGTATATGCAGTACAGACTAAAGAAGAGCTAAACAAGATCACAAACAACCATCTAATATCAATCTTCACCCCCTTTTCCAAAATAAAAGTCCCAATTATTTAGGCTCTGTAGATCTGCAACCTGGGATGCAAACTATCTGCTTCCCGATGCCATTCCTGGAGCTGGTCAATCTCCAGGGCTTGGAATGAATCAAAAGAATGGAAGGTTCTAAGAACTGCATCCATTATTTGATATAACCACAGCATTTCTCAGGAGTAGCATATCATTCAAAACAAAGCCAGCTGCAGAGTTCAGCAGAGGGTGGAGAAAGAGCTGGGAGGCCATGAACATCTGAGCAAGCCACAAGCCATCATGTCCTTCTCAGGGCAGAATGCTTCTTTGACCCTGTCCTTCCCCTCCCCATAAGGAATTGGCAATTTTTTGAAGTGAGGGGGTGGGGGTGGAGTTCTATAATCTAACCCATCCTTCTGGCTGCTGCTATAAGGCTGGGGGAATAATCAAATGGAGAATGAGGCAGGTGGGCATTAATGCAGTTTTAGAACCCTCTTCTACTGTCTCCCCCACTGGGGAGGGGCATTGTAACTTACAGAAATCAAGAAAACAGGAGTCACTGCTGGAGTGCTCCAATACTTGGTTATTAATTGCAAAGGAATGATAACTGGGCTGTTTGTGTGAGAATGAAGGCATATTGAATGAAAAAGAGTGGAGCGCTTTCTCCCCTTAATTCCCACTTGGTAAATTGGTCCTTGAAGATTCTTAAGAGATTGTTTTCTAGCAAGACTTTTGAAAAGGACAACCACAAGAAAAGTAGAGACTTTGTCCTCAATTTAAGTTCAAAGCCTGAAACTGGAAAGCTGGTAAAAAAGAAAAAACAGCTTGACCAGTGGTGAAAAAAAAGAAATGAATATTATCCAAATGGTAATCATTCAAAGCACAGTGATGTTGAGGAATTAAAGTGGTCAGAATCCCCAGCAGACCCTTATGAAGACATTTCTGGACTGTTTTACCTCTAGCTAGAGGAGATAGAGGAAATGTTTCAGTGCCATATTGGGCAGTAGGGTACCGATTTTCCCTCATCCACTCCAGCATTTATCATTTCTGATAGGTGTGAGGTAGTACCTCGGGGTTGTTTTAATTAGCATTTCTTTAATCAATAGTGATTTAGAGTATTACAAAGAGCTATAATCATCAAAACAATCTTGTTCTGGCTAAGAAATAGAGTGGTGGATCACTGGAATATATTAGGTACACAATACACAGTAGTAAATGGCTACAGTAATGTAGTGTTTGATAA